TGTACATTATCACCACTCCCTAAATCAAACTCTGATATCAAGCAACCAAAGGGTGGGGGTGGGAGAGTGGGGCGAACAGGCACACAAAGCCTCCAGAATAATGTTGATTCGAGACTTTCAGAGATGACTGGTTATTAAATTACTATATAAATGGCATGCTTGACAGAAAAACAAAAACATGTCAATAATAAAAATTGTCTGCTCAGCAAATTACATGAGGTCTTGGGATGCTGTTCTCACTGATGGACTTGGGAAAGTCACATTGAGAAGGTGGTGGCATTAACAGGCCCCACAGAACTCTGGCATCAGGTGAGCTGACTGCAGTGACAGGGAGATGAGTCATGACTATTATACCAAAGAGAAGAAAGATGTGCATCTCTGATACCCATGTTTCTCATTACTACATATGTTGTACATCAGCTATACAGGAATAACAGAAAGAGAAATATACTCAGGGGAAGAAAGAATACATGATGGAAAGGAAAAAGTAGATATAAAATTTACTTGTCATTTTGTAAGAATAAGACAGATCAAAATAAACTTTACAAAAATTAAAATACATGGTTTGAGTAGATCTTCCTGTTGTCAAAGTCCCTAGCTTTGGATTGCTTAATTTGAAAACTTTTTGTTAAAATATTGTATTTTTAGATATTTAAATAGACTTTGAACATCGGGACAATATAGTTTAGCTTGAATAGCTAGCTGGCTATCACTCAGAATAAAAGAAACAGGACATAATCTCATAAAAGAATTAATGTATTTCTTTATTCTACCATGGGAATACATTTTGGGATTTCATCTATTTAATATTTAGCTTAATATATATTTTTTTCTAGTCTGTTAATATTTATAGGCATATTTAAGAAAAGAAAATTTGGACTCTTTAAGGTCACTAGGGAAAATGGCCCTTGCTTGAGAAACCATAATAAAGGGCTCAAATAAATTGGCATAGGATTTATGTAATTTATGTGGGTATGTGTGTGTGTGTGGGTATGTGTGTGTGTGTGGGTATGTGTGTGTGTGTATGTGTGTGTGTATGTGTGTGTATGTGTGTGTGTATGTGTGTGTGTATGTGTGTGTATGTGTGTGTATATGTGTGGGTATGTGTGTGTGTATGTGTGTATGTGTGTGTGTGGGTATTCTACCATGGGAATACATTTTGGGATTTCATCTATTTAATATTTAGCTTAATACCTTTATTCAGAAATCAGTTTTACCTCTGTGGAACTGCTTTACTATAGTAATCTCCTCTAACTCCCTGTAATTTAGCATTACATTCTTTATTTCAAGAGCTTTGATGCAGGACTAAGTGATGACTTTCATAAAAAAAAAAAAGACATATGTAAAAAAAGCAATTAATAAATTACTGTTGCTAGGTGCAACTGAGTTGGTTCCAACTCATAATGATCTCATGCATAACGGAACAAAACACTACCTGGTCCTGCATCATCCTCACCACCATTGCCATGCTTGAGCCCATTGCTGTTGCCGCTATGCTAACCCATCTCGTTGTAGATCTTCGTCTTTTTTGCTGACCCTCCACTTTACCAAACATGATGTCCTTCTCCAGGAACTGATTTTTGTGTTGTTGTTAAATGCCCTCAAGTCAGTTGACTCATAGTGACCCTGTATAAGGTTTCTGAGGAATGGTTGATGGTTTTCAACCACTGACCTTGTAGTTCAAACAAACCTTGTGGTCCAGTGTTTATCCTACAGGACTATACCCATATTGATCCCTCCTGATAAACTGTAGTTTAAATAAACTAGATGTTGTTGTTGTTAAGTGCCTTCTCTACAGATCTGACACATGTGTTGTAGTTAGGTGTCATTGAGTCACTACTGACTCATCGTTACCCAATGTCCAACAGAATGAAACACTGCCTCGTCCTGTGCCAAACTCCCAATCGTTGCTACAATTAAGCCCATTGCTGCTACAGTCATGCCTCCATCTCTTTGAGGGTGTTCCTCTTTTTCTCCAACCCTCCACTTTGCAGAAGTATGGTGAAAGAATACAACCCTAGAGCACACCTTTCCTAATTTTAAACCATTCAGTGTCCCCTTGTTCTGTTTGAACAACTGTCTTTTGGTCTGTGTATAGGTTCCTCATGAGAACAATGAAGTGTTATGGAATATTCATTTTCTGCAACGGTGTCCATAGCTTGTCATGATTAACACATTTGAACACCTCTGTGTAGTCAATAAAGCAAAGGTAAATATCAGTCTAGTATTCACTACTTTCAGCCAAGAACCATCTGACATCAGTAATGGTATCCCTCATTCCATGCCATCATCTGAATCTGACTTGAACCTCTGGCAGTTCTCTGTCAATGTATGTTTGCAGCCATTGTTGGATTACCTTTAGCAAAATTTTACTTGAACGATATTGTCCGATTGCTTTCACATTACATT